CCAAGATTTCTCTTGAAAAATTAATTTTGTGATATGAAATAATTCCATTAAAAAATTATTCGTATGAAAAATCAATTTTGTGATTAGTGCTACCCAAACCACTACTACTACTATTTACACCATAGACTTCTATGCATACTTTTTCCCGCGAGTTTTAATAGAATTTGTTGCCAATAAACATCAGTGGCGTAATAATAAACACAATGACGTAGCCAACGTAACTGCACCCGGGCCGCGACACTATATTGGCGCCCCTCCCCCTCCAGAAACAAATTTTGTTATTCTTGGAAACCATTAGGCTCCCCTCTGCCAGTGGCGCCCGGGGCAAGCTGCCCCACCCTCTGCTGAGAGGTTTTCTTCGTTTTTGGGCGATAGGAAATTCGGAAGTTCCTCAAGGACAGGCAGTCTCAAAGGATTAACCCATGGTGTATAGCAGCCTTTAGTCTCTCACTTGCCCTCTGGGCTATTTCTAATCCTTTGTCTCCTAATTAGGTCACCGACCACCCACACTTGGACGAAAGTTCCAGAAAGTATAGACAAAGGAACACGGAACAAAGAAAGAAGGAAAGATAGAGAATCATATATATACATATATATAAAAATATAACAAAAAATGTATTGGTGTACCACCACAAGGTCATGGATGTAGAAGTCAAATTCTATTAGAACCATGGAATTTGACTTCTGAATTGTTATTCTGGAAATGCCTGAGACTCCAAACATTTGGTGTTTGATCCTATTGATTCGGCAATTATTATGAATTGGAAATATGCTGTATATTTTTTGTTAAATAACGTCAGAAACATTATGTCTGAACCCTTAGAGAACCAAACGTAGCAAATTTGCTATTTTAGTCAGATTCAAGTTGTTGCAGTATGTAAACAGGCTTATAAACACGTTTAAAATACTGTATACACAATTCATTAAAATTATGAAGTATTATTAAACTTGATGATGATGGATACTGTTGTAACTCGATCTTGACGTCTAGTCAAAGGTGGAAATTCCAACATACGTTTATCTGAGAAAGTCTTTGTGTAGTCGTCACCCCAGTCTGATGTATCCGAGAGTGAATAAAGTTAATTGTTAATTAACTACGTCTTTTTATGTGAAACGGTGTCAAAAACAAAATCGATATAAAAGATACATTTCTTTCTATAACGTTTGATGTTTGCCATTAACCAGATTAGTCTTCTCTAACATATTGAGTATTGTTCGGCTTTTTATAGCCTTATTTTCAGTGTCTTTAAGTCTTCTTTTATTTTATTCATAATTCCACCTTATAATCTTAAGACTGGATTATAAACTCCGTACCGTATCTATATCCGTAAATGTTTGCAACGCTGGTATACTTATGGCAGCAGTTACAAAATACCATAAGAGAGTATCCGTATCCGTAAGGAACCAAACTTTTTTATGGTGTATGAGGCAGACCGCAATACGCATGCGCACTCTTGATGTAAATCGGAGAAAATATCACTGTTTGTTGCCAAATCTACACTAAAATTATTTATTCATTTGTTTTCTTTGACCAAAGTAACTCTTACTTTAAATTTTATATTGTTCTATTTATATTGATAGGGCGCATTTGCCATCGACGTCGTCCACACTGCCCATCCTTTCGCTTTTTATTAATAATATATGCTCATACAGTAATTGCCAATAGTGCAATTATAGCCACATATTCTTTTCTTCCTGTTTTCATTGCGTTATTGATCTGTCAGATCATCTTGATGTCTGGGAAGAGACATCCATCAGATTTGCCTAGCTCGTGACTTATCTTCAATAAATTCAGTTTTTGAAACTTTTGCAGCAATTGTATAATTGCTGCTTTGACATAAAGTTTTTATTGGAATGCCGTTGATTAAAACCATTCGTAATATTACTTAAACTTCTCTTCCCAGACCACAGAATGATTTGGATTTATTCTTCACGTATTAGATACAGTCGAGAGTTTATTTTATCACACCGAGAAAAAGAAAAAGACGTTAGATTCATTTTCTTATAAGTTTTCACAAAGTTAGATGGAAAACCATAAATGTATCATTTAATTTCGTTCGAAATTCTAGCTTCGTTTATGTATCACAGTGTTTTTAAACCTTCTTAAATACGCGACCCCTTTACGAGTTAAAAAATTCTGGCGACTCCCCAGGGCCATATTAAAACTATATCCGTGATTTTAAAAACTATGTATTTAATTTTCTTTCTGTTGAGAGCTAAATATCGATCGACATTTATTTTACAGTCCCCGCGTTTCTTTATGCAGCGAGAGTGTAGCGAAATGACGTCACGAGCAGTGTTGGCCAATTAGAAACCAGTTTCAGTATGTTCGCTGCAAAGCGCTTCTCGAGAGCTGCATAAAGAAACGCGGGGAGTGTAAAATAAACAGGCACAGCTTCTCACTGAAATTGTAGTATTTTTATTGTAGTGTAGGACCTACAAACACTTGTCTTTTTCTTTTACCCGCGACCCCCCGTCGCGACCCACAGGTTGAAAAACACTGATTTATCATATGATCCCATTACCATTTAAACGTTTTGAGATGAATTTAAGATGGTATCCACGAAGATGGCGTCCATCCTATTGATATGTACAGTATTATGATTTTTGCTGTTAGATATAACATATTCTATCCTGCCAAAATTTCCCTGTTCAACTCAGTCTGTTTATAAGGGTGTTAAGCGACTATTGACACACTGTATTCTAATAATTCTAAGATGATAGTAAACTTTCACAATTTTTAAGGTTGCAATGATATTTTGCATTTTTTTTTCTTATATTAATTTATGTTTTTAAAATCGAACAATTTAAGAAATCATTTACTAGATTTACAAAAGTTTGTAAATCACGATTTACGAAATTGGTTTAATAAAAATAAATATCTGCAGTTCAAACTGATTCATTGTACTTGCATTGAATAGTTGTTCCTATTTAGTATTAAAACGTTGCATTTTCCTGAAAAAATTTTTGAATATTTTTCAAGTGTTTTGAGATGAATTTAGGATGACATCCGTCCATTTATTAATTAATGAAAGTTATCGCTAATGTTAATTTTTAAAACTTTTTTCGTCCTATGGGTATTAGGAAGGGTGTTTGTTTTGGCAAACCCATTATAGTTTTCTCCAGGTCCACATTGGAGAGGATGAGTGGTGAGCACAGGGTTCGACCTATCCGTCCGGATAGGTCGAGCAAAATTGCAATTGATGGCATTCGTGTCTCTGAAACTACTACATTCTCTATCATTTTTTATATACACATTGTCTGTGGTCTCTTTGCTATTGAATAACATTTTTAACTTTTCATGATGTTTCTTGTTATGCCAATATTTGTCTTCGCACAATTGATTTTACCCTGCAATTCCCGAAGGACTTCTTTTTTTTATTATTCTCCTTAGCTGGATAAAGAAGAAGGATATACAGTATATATATATATATATATATATATATAAACAGTGGAGTAGCGTGGGTGTCAGCCGCCCGGGGCGGAGGAAAATTTCGCCGCCCCCTTAATTAAATGACTAAAATTCAGTTTCGTCACAGAAAAAGTAATGAAAACTTCCGTGCTCATTTCAATGTCCGAATCCTAGGTGCGACAAAAATATGAAATGAAATGGTTTACATTTTTACAAGATATTATTATTATTTATTGTGAAATTTTGCCACCCCCTAAAAGTGCCGCCCGGGGCGGGTCGCCCCTACCGCCCCTACCGCCCCTACGCTACGCCACTGTATATAAAAAAAACTGGGGCTTAGGCAAATTAAGAGACTCAACTGAGTGCCAATGTTGAGGGACTGGCAGGATCGTGCGGCTTAAAGTGTCAACTTTGCTCAGTTTGATGTTAATATCCGAAATTTGATCCATAGTTTGAAGTCGTTATCTTGGATGATAGTTACATCTGCTGGAATTCTTGCAGTATGTCTATGCGCTTATTAATGGCCTCGTAGACCTTATTTTTCAAAATGGAATTGAAATTCCTGCTACTGTTAATTAATAGAATCAGTAATGATGTCCAACTGCAGATGGACATCATTACTGATTCCATTGTAAGATTTTAAAATGACTTTGATACATTGCTACAGATACAGTACTACAATTTAAACTGAATTTACTAAATAAAATACAGCAAAATTTCAGGTTTTTCAACCTGGGATCCCAGAGCAGTAGGTTGCTACCTTAACCGTTCGGCCATCCTGCTGTCTCAATGCGAGTTGGTATTTCAACAACCGATCACAGTAAATTCATAAAAAATCATATTTCTTTCAGATCATAAGATTCTAACACAAAATTTGCATTGTGTTTCACTCAGAATTTATTGAAAACTGTGATTTATTATAGTGAAAACGAATAATCTTTTGAGATTATTTTTTATTACATATTACATGTAGGCAATAATATTATTTCAGCATTATTTTAATCATAAGAATGTGTTTATAAAACACGAATTATATATAATATTTATTAATTGTTAAGAATAATTGAGGAATCTCGAGAAGCGGGTACATGTATAAGCTCTTAGTGTGACATTCGATAAACTTCCGCATGCTGGTAATTATTTACTTGACACTGGAGAGGAATATTTAATTAAATAATTAAAGAAATTACCCATCAAACCTATAGTGATAACGAAATGAATACAGAATTTGAATTATTTAAATAACCTTTCAGAAGATAAAACATACAACAACAATAATACATACAATACTGTATAATATAAAAATAATATGATACAAAAAATTTGCATCCTCGCATCAGGAAATAGCCATTAATTAATTACACGCGATTAATGAAATCTGCACCACGTGGTCACACTATCACCATCTGGTGACATTTTTGTAAACTTCAAATGGCGCTTTAGTAATGAAAATTGAATTATTTCGAAGTCATGAGATTTTGCCATGGACTCTACGTAAGTTTAGAAGTAAACAAATTAATAAATTTATCTCTCAGCAACGGTGCCAATTATTATTTTTGCGTTAAAACAAAATCTCAAATTGCAATTGTCAATTTATGATAAAAGTTACGTTTAGGTAATATATATATATATATAGATGTGACTCATGACTACTACATATATATTAGATATATAAAAAGATGGTAGTCATGAGTCCATCTCCTTATGGGACTTGAGTTTAAGTCCAGGTTGGCTGAGAAATATTTTTGAATGAGTCAACCCAAATATGTCAGGCCCAGTCCTTCAATACCCAACTGTGCCATTGTGGATCTGAATAAGCCTATATTGGGTATGGAAAAAACTTTCTTTAGTGACAACTAGATGACCGAATGGCTGAGGTTGTTTAGGTTCAGCCTACCATTCTGGGGTGAGCTAGGATTGAATATGGGGGAGAAATCCCAAGAATTTTTTATCATCAGTAAATATCAGAAAAGACAGGTCCCTTCCCCATTCCTCCTCTTTTCATACTCATTGTGGAAATAGTCAGATCCATAATGGGTATGAAAAATGGAGGAAAGAGCCAAAACTGAAAAAAGTGTCAACAAGACAGAAAGAGTTAAAAAAAAATATATGTATATATATATATTATATGTATTACCGTATTATTGTGTTGGGTTTAGTGGGTTATACTCGGTTCACACCGGTGGCTGTGTACTATGCAAGACCAGAGTCAAGGCATAATAACCAAAACAAAACAAAAATTAAAAAACTCAGTGTGTGTGTCTGTATTCAGGAATTTCCTAACAATATGACATGTATTCAATATAGTGGCCTTCTTTAGTGTGATGCATATGTTTCTATTCAATTGTAATGTGCCCAGGCTTATGTGTAGTGTGTGTGGTATGACACCTGTAAAGGAGAGAATGACAAGTATAATAAGAACCCTATCCATCCTCCACAGATGCCTTATTTCCTGGGCAAATTCTGTGTACTTACTGACTTTTTCAGTACATGTGTTTTGTACATTGTGAGTGTTTGGAATGGATATGTCTATAAGGTATGTGATTTTATTGTGTTTGTCGAGTATGATGTCTGATCTGTTGTGGTAAATTGTTTTATCTGTGATTATGGCTCTGTCATAGTACATTTTGTGTGTGTTGTTTTCCAATACTGTCTGTGGAATGTATTTGTAGTATGGTTCATGGATATCTAATAATTTGTGTTTGTTTGCAAGCTCTTGGTGTATTATATTTGCTATTTGATTATGTTTATGTAAATTTATTATTATTAATCAGAATAATTAGAATTATTCTGATTAATAATAATAACAATTGACTATTCTGATTAATAATAATTATTCAGTTATTATTCATAATAGAATATATGAAGTAAAACATTTAGAAATATAATAAATAATGTAAAATTATATTTAATACAATGATATAAAATAATAAAAATTAGGCTTGCTGCTTTAGTTCTTATGTTTTTAACTTAAATGATGTGTTTAATATTGTTAAGTCAATTAACTTAATTTTTGATCTTGCAGTTCATCAGGTGTGGATATTCAATCATCAGATATATTTCAAGATTTAAAATCTGATGAAGATATTATTTCTGAAAATAAAGACCATGACATTGAACAACCAGCAATAAATAATGGAAATGTAGAAATAATCATTGATAGTGATTCTTCAAATCATTTCCAAACAACAGAAGTAAGTAATGAGGGAATAGAATTACGTAATGATGACAATGCTAACTATTTTAAAGCTTCAGAGAATTGTTATGATTTTTCTAACTATCCTATACAAATTACTGGTGCTTGGAAAGAATTTGAAAAAATTACAGAAAATTATACTAAAGGATGTAAATGGTAAGTCTTTTTTATGAAATGCCATTATAATTTTTAATTATGTTTTTTGAATTTTGAAATGTATTTGTTATATTACAAGGTCTCCTGATGGAAGCTGCTTTTTATCAAACAGCAATGACAATAGTCTTCGTATTTTTAATCTTCCAGAATGTTTATGGCAAAAGTCAATAACTTGGGAATCTGTCAGTGAATTGGTAATTTAGGATCTAATTTATATACATTATATTATTGGACAACCTACATTATAGATTATTTTTGACATTTAAATTCAATAATTATATAACAAGAATTCTTAAACATTTTCAGCAGTTTATATTGCTTTCTTACAAGTCCAAAACATTCATAAAGTTATCTTATTAATACAAAAGTTACTAATAATTGACTTTATATAATTTATTGTCAGAGAATTATGTAATTTGATATTTTAAAATTTAAGGTTTTTTTTTTAATTGTCTTATACTATTTCTATAAATGACAAATACAAACAATTTGTACTTATTATTAATAGAAAAAGCATCAGACGATAAAAAAATTTCATAAATATTTGGAACGTTTATTTTGAAAGTGGTGCAAGTCCATATTTTGTTGTTTTCAGAAAATTAAAGGTTAGCATATTAGTCAATTCAAAAATATAAATTAATTATGTCAAGTCTGGCAATGTTTCTACTAATTTATCAATATGTAATTTGATTATATAAATTTCTTTTAGGCGAATTTAACTAAAATATTATATATTTACAGACTGTAAATGGACTTGCACCATTTTAATGATTAGTCAATTGTAAAAATCATTTAATTTATGAAAAATTAAATATCACTTAAAATATATTTTGTATTAATTCAATTTTGTTTATAAATAATAACAAGAAATAAAATAGTAGTAGTATTTTTTATTTTGGACATTAATTATATTTATATATTGTTAAACTTAAATAAATAATAGCAATATCTTATGTTATGCTCTTTATGTGGCAGTGTTTTGAAATATTCATGATGTACAGGGGGTATATAAGGTAATAACTGCTCCATATTCTTATATTTTTCATATGTAATAGGTCTGGCATTGTTATACAAAGGCACCAGGGCAATTCTTTCAAATTTTGGCAGTCTTCCCTGACATGTAGGTGATAAATCTAACAAATTCTGTATCCTCTATTGATGTTTTATATAAAATATTATATGGTGCACTTTTGCAAAACCTCATCCAACATATTATTGTGTCTGTAAAATAAATGATTACTTTGTTAACGTGTATAATTAACTTTATTATAATACAAATGTAATGTTGTGCCTCCAGGTCTAAGTGTTACAACAGCTAACACATGACTGACTGGAGACAAAGGAACATGACAAAGATCAGAGGTGCGGGGTTACCTAACTAGGTCAAGGGGCAATGCGGTGGGTTATTCCCTGGAGGTTTACATACATAACACATATGGACTGTTTATTTGGAAAGTGGTATAAGTCCTTTTTTCTTTCAAAATATTTAAAGTTGCATAATAAACTGTCCATTTATGAAATTTTGAACTCAAGTATTCTTGTCAGTAATATTTTATTTGTGAAAATCTTCTTGCAGATTAAAGTTCAAAATAGAATACAAAAACATTCTTATCATTGAATATTGAGTTTATATCATTCAAATTTATATTTATTAACCATGTAATACTTATAAATTTTAAAATAGATTTTAATTAATAAATTAAATCTTTCCAAAACTTTATAAAAAGTTTTAGTTTTGAAAATATGTATAAAATTTAAAATTTTCTGATTTTTAGTATATAATTTAATCGAAATTTATTTTAACATTTTATTAATTTTTTTCTAATGAAATTTTTATTATTATTAAAAATCCAAACAAAAACATCTGAGATGTAAAAAAATTAAGCCAAATAAAAATTTATGACAATTTGGATGACAGTCAAAATTTTACTTAGCAGTTTTTCTTTGGTAAAGATAAGCTTGGTGCTTGGAAGCAGTACCCACATGATTTTTACTTGTATTATTTTCTACATTTTGCCTCCAAGCACCAAGCTTATATTTATCAAAGGAATACTACTAAGAAAAATTTTGACCATCATCTAAATTGTCATAAATTTTTACTTGGCATAATGTTTTTACATTTCAGATGTTTGTTTTTTTTTGGATATCAATTTTTTTTTGGATATCAATTATTTTTGTTTAACTCTTTAAGCTTTGAAAACTCACTCCATCTCTGTTGCTAATGACTAAATTGTTTTTACCCCTCAGGCTACAAGGGAAACTTGTATAGCAAAACTAGTCTAACAACTTTTCAATTGGCTGATTTCATTTTTAACGGATAAGGCTGATTTTGCCTGATATCGTATTTAAAGAGTTAATAATTGTATTATTATGTCAAAACATGAGATGATGATGTACAGTACGGTTGGCACTTGGTGACTGAATGCACTGCTGACCAAATGCTCTGCCAACTGAACACTTTCGATATTCATTTTGGTCAGCACTGACCAAGCACGTCATCAACTGACACTTTTGATGTTTAGAAAAATCATTATAAAAAGTTTTACTTTTGCATCAGTTTGAGCTTTTGTAATTTTGAGTAACATTTTGAATAAAATTCATTTGCTTCCATGTAATTTTATGTTTATAAGCATAAAATTAAGCTGTAAAACTGAATTAGCTCTATGGAGAAACTCCCATAAACTTTGACGTATTGACCCGGAAATTTTGCAAGCACCTCACTGATAATGAGAAAGGCTTAAGTTTAAAATTTTCTATACAAGCATCTGCAGTGATAGATGAAGAAAAAGGAGAAAAGAATACAACTTTCTTGGCAAGTTTTGCACTTTTCAATTGCTTATATTTTGGCAACCACATTACAGAAAATCTTGAAATTTTGCACACTACCTAAGAAAACAATTTTCTTTCTAACAGGATATTCGGAATTACTTCAGGTATTTGGAACAGAGAAATCAACTCTGAAAAATTGACAACTCTGATTCCTGTACATATGTATATATATATATATATATATATGTACAGGATATATATATATGTATTTATGTATACATAACAAGGGAAAGTAATGGAATTGTGTCAAATTTGACCCTCCGAATTTTTTGCAAATCTCCATGTTTTGAGAGCTCTGAACCCACCATCTCCTTGTTTGAATTTTACTCTTCCTTCAAAGAGGAGAACTTTCACCAAATGAGGAGGCATGCACAGCTAGTCATCTTTGGATCCACCTATATATGTGAACATACTTTCTCAGTGCTGAAGTTCAACAAATCTAAACACAGATCTTATATCATTGATGTGCACCTTTCAGCTATGCTTTGTATATCCATCTCAGACTTTCAGTGCACTTTGTTGAAGCCCAAAACAGACTTAATTTTTCTCACTGAATGAGAAAAGTAAACTGAAAGACATCTAAAGCATTTATTATTTTTTGTATTAAGTTAATTAATTGCTTACATTTGCAAAACAACTATTCAATATTTCTAAGTTGTGTTGAAAAAAAATGAAATACTGATATAACTATTGTTTTCCTGTTTATGACTTGTAGTAGTTTTGACTTTTTCCACAATTTTATATCTTTATTAAAATAAAATATCCTTAGTTTTTTGATTATCAGTAGCATAATCAAAATTATATAATTTACTGCTCTTTACAGTTGGAGGAAATTAATATTGTATTGAATATAGTTAAGTTCAGGTTATTGTTTGTTTGGCCCTCTAACACAACTCCAGTTTCTCATGTGACCCTTTGGAAAAAAATAATTGCCCACCCCTAATCTAACTCCTCTCAGGGGGAATGTTTGAATTGAAATAACTTGACTTCTGTTTTGAACCAGAAGTTCATATATAGTTAATTGGGAGTTCTTGCCCCTAAGGTTTCCATATTTGGTCTTGTCTTTCATATATCTAACTCCGTTCTCAAGATTAAGGAAGAACAGACACACAACAGTGGGAATTTATAAGTCTACAATTTTTTCAAATTGCAGCCCAATAAATTGTATAGCATTGTGTTCAGGCACAGCATTAGCAAAGCCTCTTCTTTGTAGTTTATAGAATTGTGTTCCTTCTCAAAATCTGTTTGGTCAATTTTGATTAAACTTTTCCATTTTCCATTAATTGCATTGAGGAATTTAAAAACCTGCTTAAAAAAGGTAAAGTTATATTAATTTGGCAGGACGTGGGTAAAAATCCATCATTCCAAGAAAACTATTGTTTTGCGATCTTTTGAAATGAGATTCTACTGTATAACTAGTAAGGTAAAAACTTACCAGTTATAATCTGAAAATCAAAGCCTGGAAAAATCAGGAAATACTTTCATTTCACAGGAATAAATATTCACTAATTTAATTTGATAATTTAAAATTTATACAAGTCATTCCACATCAAATTGACAAGGCCAAAACCTAATGATGATTTAGGCATTATGGAGGAATGGTATTACAAGTTTAACATTTATTTGCACAAATTAAAATTTCTAGTGGCCATATAATAAACATTGCAAATGTGAATTTTATTTTATTGTTACCCTTTGGATATCCTATAAAAACTTTATGGAAAAAATAAAGTCAATTTTTAGGAATCTAAATTTTTGAATTTAAAAATTTCTATAAAATTGAAATCATAATGGAATTTTTTCTTTAATTCCATTATGATATCTGAATGATTCTTTTTAAAATAAGTCATATAATTACCTCTTTCTAACCTGTTACCGGTGTGTCTACTAACTCTTAACGATCCAAAACGAATCAAAACTAACGTTTTCGAACCCTTAACCGGTTCTTCTTCAGGTTTTTTCGAATCTCTGATGGAAAATGCAGCTCGTAAAAACTTTAAATTCGAAATATGTAAGTTCGAATGCACGTTTCCCGTTTCCGTCGTTGTATGTCATGCGCAGTCGACTCCAAACGGGCTATCATAAATTACTATTCATAAACGCTAGCCACGCTGTTGATAACGTAATCTCTTCTTTATAATTGATGCATTGATTATCCTTAAGGTTAGCCAAATATATGCTGGCCGCCTCTAGCCATCTGATATGGTGTACGTGCCGTGCGGTGCGGATAATTCTTGCTTTCTTAAATTCGGGTTCTATATCTGGATCGGAAGCATATACTGCTAGGGTCGTCGTGTTCCTTTGTTTCTGAATATCCGCAGCGTGTTCTTTGAGTCTAACCTCTAAGGATCGCTTGGTGGAGCCC